TATTTATTTGAGAGATAGAATGAGAGAGAGAGAGCACATGAGAGGGGGGAGGGTCAGAGGGAGAAGCAGACTCCCTGCTGAGCAGGGAGCCCAATGCAGGACTTGATCCTGGGACTCCAGGATCATGACCTGAGCCGAAGGCAGTCGCTTAACCAACTGAGCCACCCAGGCGCCCAAGATTCCAAATTTTAATACAAGTAGGAAATCTTTTCTGGCAGCACTGACTAAGGAATATAATTATCTTTCTGGAAAACAGCAAAATTTTATTTTGTTCTAATAACATTAGGAAAATAAGCTGAAATTAATCTAGATGAGTGCAGAAATGGGTGCAAGCTTTAGTATTTCATATCCAAGTATAACTTCAAAATAGGGTCACATGCATCCATTTCTTCTCCCACCTAAAACCACTAAATGGCAGTAAAGGGATTTTGAAAAGATATGAGACAACAGTGGATGGAAAGTTTAGTAACTCTCAGAAAACGTAAAGTGGCTGAAGCAATGAGAACAGATTAAGAAAAAACGTAGAGGCCAAACAGGAGCCTAGTCAAGGGGTGATTTTGAGGATAGAGACCCTGTCAATCCTTCAAAGGATGTACAAGGACAAGGTGCTGGAGAGTGGGGGATCTGAGAGAAATTGTGTACACCCAATAACAGGAGCACCATGAACCCTTGTCATCCACTGTCTCTTCAATTTGAGCAAACAGGTTTATTCCAACCCAAGAAAGATACTAAAGGATTCATCTCTGGAGAAACTAAGTTGCCCAAAGAAAAGACTTCAAATATAGACATCTGGGAAGGCCTCCTCAATGCAGAAGCCAGCTCTCCAACCAGTAATGCTGGAATAAAGACCTAGAGTCTATATACCTGCTCGGCTTTGGGCTGCCTATCAGCGTGGGCACTTCACTGGTACATTTCAGTGAACATTGTTTTCAGACAGCCAGAGGCGACCAGCTATTTCAAGAAAACTCAAGACAAAAACAAGAGGTTCTAAAGCAAATTTTGAAAAAAGCAGCAAAAACAGCAATTGGAGGAAAGAGAAAAAAATGCAGGGGGCCAAAGAATACTTTTTAAAAAGCTATATAATAGGGGCACCTGGGTGGCTCAGTTGGTTAGCGTCTGCCTTTGGCTCAGGTCATGATCTTGGGGTCCTGGGATCGAGTCCCGCATCGGGCTCCCTGCCCAGTGGGAAGTCTGCTTCTCCTTCTCCCTCTGCCTCTGCCTCTCCCCCTGCTCGTGCTTTCTCTCACTCTGTCTCTCTTTCTAATAAATAAAATCTAAAAAAAAAATAAAATAAAAGCTATAATAAATGTCTCAAGGGAGGACATTATCTGTAAAACGAAAACAGGATGAGATTAAAACCGAGAACAAGAAAGAGTACTTGAAGAATAAAGATGGGATACTAATATTAATAAACTTAAAAAATAAAACATGAGAAAAGTCAAAGAGCTGTGTCCTATAGAATACTAGCTGCCTAAATTCCAATCTCTCCATATACCCTATAAAACCACCCCTAATCCATGTCTACTATAAAACGAGGAGTCAGAGAACATTACAAATTTCCATTTGCAGGTAAGTAGAGAAATAAACATCCAAACGCCAATGGAGCCAGCTCCCAAGCCCACACTAGAGTGAGGCAGAGACTGGCAGTGTTGGACACAGCCCCCCAAAGAGCGCCACACCCTACATGCGAAAATAATAAGCACAAGTCTCCGACTCGGTAGATCAGAGCATGGGCTACTAAGGAATTTAAAGGAAGGGACCAGAAAGTACATGCAGCCAGGAGTTTGGGAAGGCACTGCTTTTGGAGGAGAAAGAGACATCCTTTGGCAGTTTTGTGGCAAAAAAAGAAAGCAAGTGATGGAAATTGGGAATCCTACAGGAACAAAGAAAATCACAAAACCAGAAGTCATGCCAACCCCACTCCCCACCAAAAAAGAAGGCATCATCTAGTAAAAAAGCTACATGTCTGCATATCTGTGGAATAAGGTACTCTTGAATTAAGAAGTCCAGAGTAAGACCCTCAAGCCTCACCCTATCCACACTGAATCCCTGCTGCCACTGGTGCGTGACAAAAATAAGTGTAAGACAGCAGGGAACATCCTTACAAAGCTCTAGGTGAAAAACACTTCAAGTCAGAAATTCAAATACTCAGAACCGAAACAGACAAAAAAGACAAATGCTGACCAAATTCAGAAAAGACAAAATCCTCTCATAATTTACATGTATTGTTTCACTAAAAAATTAGCAGCACCTACACCTTTATGGAGTATGGTGAAGATTAAATGAAAGTACATGATGCGGTACACACTTCTGATCAAGCACAGAATAAATGTTCAACCAATGTAAAAAACAAATCATTCTACTATTCAGAAAAGGAACATATTCAGAAAAGGAAAATGTGGAGGGTGCCATACTAAGGACAGTGGGCTTCACTAACAAAGGAGAAGATGCTTGCAATCAAGGCAGAAATGGTACAAATTACAATGTTTAAGATACTACTACAAGCATTGATATCATTGAGTGGGTTCAAAGTTCAGCTACAAAGGAATAGTCAGACAATTTCCAGTCAGTCTAGGAAGAGTTCTTGGACCAAGAAAGTCTTAAACAGTGTGCCCAAGGGCTGGGTAGGAAAAGATGCCCCAGGGAGCACTATCCAGGACTTTCTATGGGGACCAATCTCCCTCATGTCTAACTTGGGCGGCTGTGCCATTTGCTCTACTCTCAACCCCAACTTACTGCCTTCCTCCTGCTCCCTGACTCCTCCTTCTGTTGTAGGCAAGGCATCAGAGATCCACTGGCCATCTTTTGTTTCTCCCAGGATCGTCTCCAGCTCTATTTCATCCATGGTGCCCCCCTCAGATGACAGCAATTTATCCAAACCGAATTTGAGTATCTCACTCAACTTAAATGGAGAAAATGAAAAAGTCCAGTTAGTTCTCATGAAAATAAGCATTGGGATGTCAGTGATTTGCTACATGGCTTAATGACACAAGGCGAATCCCTTCCCTGTTGGTCAGCCATTCTTCTCTCCCCATGAGGATGACACCAACGGACCATTTACTAGCTGGATGATGGCCAAGCAGAGAGGTGATGAATGCTGATCAGTGATGTTGACTCTGACAATTCTCCACCACCACAAGAAAAATTAGCCAATTTTTTCCTAAAGAACAGTAATATCCTGCATTATCTACAGCACTTCTCAGAGTCCTTCTCACAGGCACTTCCAGCAGCCACATGAGAAATCAGAGACCCAGTCAGCCTCTCTCCCACTGACAAATTTCGAAGGAGAAGGCTACACTGGGTACTTTCCCTCTACCATTAACTGACTTCTTTCCTTTGGCAAACTGGTTTCCTACCACAGCGCTATGGAAACACCTCTGCAAAGACCAGTAATAACTGATAGCCAGACCTGAAGGCCATTTCTCAATTCTAATCTTCCTGGATATTCCTCTGGCACTGCACTATCCTGCCTCTCTTCTCTTATCTTAAAGGCACCCTTAGCCTATTCCGTAGGGATACAGGAACCACCCAAACAGTTCAAATAATTTCCCTGGCTTTAGCTTCCTACTTCCAGCTTTGCAACTCCTTAAGCATTAACTCTGAGGTTCCAAATCAAGGCAGACTCACATCGTGGCTTCTAGCTCATATCTTACCCTTTTAGACTGGGTCAGTTATCTCTAGATGGTCTAGTATTTGTGAGCCAAATACTGATGGGAATGTAAACTGTTCCCAACACCAGCTGTTTGAGAGGGCTCTGTCGGACTTCTTGCCCAGCTCAAGGACACCAGAAGGTTACGTTCTGGCTCTAAAGTCTGCTTTTGGGGCGCCTGGGTGGCTCAGTCATTAAGCATCTGCCTTCGGCTCAGGTCATGATCCCAGGGTCCTGGGATCAAGCCCCTCATTGGGCTCCCTGCTCTGCGGGAGGCCTGCTTCTCCCTCTCCCACTGCCCCCTGCTTGTGTTCCCTCTCTCGCTGTCTATCAAACAAATAAATAAAATCTTTTAAAAAAAAATAAAGTCTGCTTTCTCCCTCCCCCTCCAGACTACACTAGTTATCTCTTTGGTTGCCAAAAACAAAGGTGACAACCCAATGCCCTTGTCTCAGATGAAAGCAGTTTGTTCATTGTTTTAAAATAATCCAGTAATAAAAGATGTGGCTGTGGTTTATTAAATCTAAGAGATATAGGATTCTCAAGTCCTGAAGAGGGAATCAGGTTCATTACCCTACAAAGAGGCAGATGTAATGAACATTTATTGAATGCTTAGTGTGTGCTAATTATCATCTGAAGTGCTTCTGACTGTTTCAGTGAACATGATCCCTGGGCCAAAATGGAAGAACCTAGGATATATTATAATATGGATTCTAATTTTAACCCAGGGGCTACTACAGAATAACTCAAAGTCCTCTTCCAGAAGAGAAAATCTTCAAGTCAGCGTTTGTTTCCTATCCAATATTTCCATCTTCAAGCAATTTATTCTTTCATCCATTTTTCCTAAAGCAGAATTTTGAATTCCTGATCTCATTTACCCACCTCTGACTATGAAGGTCACTCACTAATCAAAGGGTCTGGGGTTAAGATGAGGTATGGGATTAATCATCATTTATTAAGCTGAGTACTTTATCTAATTTTTTTAACAGTCCTCCGAGGTAACTTGCAGTATTCTCATTTTTTGAAATGCAAACAGAGCACATCTGAGAGGTGAAGATACCTGCTCAAAGCTACATAGCCACTAAGGGACAAGGCTTGGATCTGAATCTAAGTGAGGGGTATCTAAAGCCCATCCTTGTTATTCCATATTCCGCTACCTTTATATATCATTTTCATTTCTAGCTCCTTGCTTGCATGCAGTAGATACCATGGCAGGTATGTCTGGCCAGGGAACAAATGTGTAGTTGGGGAGAGTGGGTGTTAATACCAGTTCTTTGTGTTTACTTTCTCACCCACAAGAAAGTACTGACAGGGGCGCCTGCCTTCAGCTTGGGTCATGATTCTGGGGTCCTAGGATTGAACCCCACATCAGGCTCCCTGCTCCACGGGAAGCCTGCTTCTCCCTCTCCCACTCCCCCTGCTTGTGTTCCCTCTCTC